TCGTCGGAGTCGTTGATTTCGTCGTTGGTGTGGCTTGGGGAGAGAGAGAGATAAAGAATAGAGAGAGTGGGGCACAATTGGACAAAGAATAGAGATAGGGGGAGAGAAGGGATTTTTTTTTCGTAGGGGGCAGAATATTTGGCCAAATTAAGTGGAGTGATTTAAGAGATTTTGAAATTAAAAATTTAGGCGAGATTAATTTTTTCAAGAGTTAATCTAGTGTGTTGAATCAATAGTTCTAAAATGATCATAGTTCGAGATAGTTTAGGATAGTGTCATCCATGGGATAGTGTCATTCATAGGTCATCCATAGCATCATCCATAGGATGGTTCATAACGTCAATCTTAACCGCTCTTTATCTCTAAAATTTAAAATTGTTCTACTTTATTATATATACTAGTCATTTGTCCGTGAATGAAGACACTATGTTACTTATAAAATTTCAACACACAAAGATAGGATATTTGAATAATTTCAACATATAGCGATTAGATTGATTTTGAACATTTTTTGTTGATGCAATTGATATCTTGTTTTTTTTTGTATTGGTCACTTATTTTTTTTTAATTGCTGATTAACTTAGGTTTTGAATTTTTTTTTTAATTTTTTGAGAACTATAGGTTTTCATACATTTGTGATTTATTTTTGGTATGAATAATAACTTGATGATTTTATTTATGGATTAGAAAGACAATTTAAACTTCATTGATCGATAAGAAGTAAGAAGTAAATATCAACCATCGGTACTAAGATGCGTGATAAGAAGATCTACTTATAATGTACTCTAGATATGAATCAGTTTGTAATAAAAAGATGAAAAATTATATAGTAAGTATATAATGGTTTTTAATGAAATATTATACCAAAGGTTTTGAAAAAATCGATATACTAAATAACTTACATGTCCAAAAATGGTGACATTGTCTATTTAGATACTGATTTTTGTGTTATAGTGACAATGTGTATGCGATATTGGGGTCAAATGTTAAATTGTTAAACTTTGAAAAATAAGCATTAAACTTAGAGATATTATGTATTTTATGTGTGTTTAATATAAATATTTTTAATTTTATGCAAAGTTTTATCATAAAATTAGAAATTAAATAAAACCAACCTAAATCAAGGTACAAACAATACATTTTTAATATATAATATTTAGATCATTTAATTTAAAATGAATTCAATCTGAGTTGTTATTATGTTTTTTCAAATTTAAGATAGAGACGTATGAGATATAGAAGTGTAGAGTCTTACGATAAGAGGTTTTTTCATGGGTGAGAAAAGAAATTCAAGACTAACTGTAGTCCGTTAGATCAAAATTTTTGAAATGATCTGAACCGTCTTTTATGTGGGGATTACGTTGTCCGTTGGATGTGTTTATGTCTTGTCTCAAAACGATCTAGATCTCTATTTGTCTTTTGGATTCAAACTTCGTTCTATTTTATTATATATATATATATATATATATATATATATATATATATATATATAGAGAGAGAGAGAGAGAGAGAGTGTGTGTGTTTAAAATGTCTAAAAGATAGGACATAGAGTTGTATAAGAGATAGGCGTATTAGAGGTAAATCTAATTATGATCGTTGAATTAAAAGCCTAAAAATGATCTGAGTTGCGAAAAGTTCAAGACAAACTTTTTTAACTACTTTATTATATAGATATTTACGAAAAAGAGAACGAAACAAGAAAAAAAAAGAAAGAAATAGACTAAAACAAGAAAAAAGAAAAGAACAAAAGAAGGAAATAAAAAGAAATAAACACACCGAAGAAAGAAAAAAAAATCAAGTAAAGATTAAAGGAACAAGTAAAATTATAACACGTAAAACCAAATATAAAAAAAAAAAAAAAAGCTTCAAATACATACACAAAATATAACCAAAAAAAAAACAAGCATAAATGCAAAATTTTAACAAGATAAAAAATAATAAATAATCTGAAAACACACACACACACACACACATATATATATATACATATCAGTTTTAAATAAAAAATTATTAAATTTGACAGAGGTATCAAAGCGTACCAAAAATAATAAAAATTTATATAATAAATATGAAATTAAACATAAAATTAAATTGAGAAATAATATTAATCTGTATCTCACTGAAAAAAATTCATATTGAAAAAATATTTTTGTGAATGCATGAGATGACATAGAAAATGAAACTCTAATTATGACAAAATATAAAGTAGGTTTATTTTTTAAAAATAGTGTATATAATATGAGGTGAATTTAGTTATTAATGAGATAGGTACAAAAAAAACGGATTTAATAGTTTGATAATAAAAAATTAAATGAGGGGAGCGAAAATAACCCCACCCATTCACTATTGAGCATCCTTTGGAAGATGAAAAATACTAAAGTTGTACCCCGAAGTTTGTTAAATTACACTTACCTTCCCTTTAATATTTGGCTCAAAATGTCATTGACTTTTTTTTTTGAGGCACCGTATCCAGGTTTACAATAACTACCGTCTCGAACTCCACTATTGATCACAATTTGCTTACTGTGAGACTATTCCCAACCCCCAAAATATTCCACTAAATTCCTATATAATATAATAATTATTCTCGTCTCGTACCTCGCTATAAATACCCTAACTATACATTTTTTTTCCTTGTATGGTACTTGAAGACAAATAAAAAATATTGTATGACGGTTGAAATTTGGCCTAGGTCCTTTTTGGAATTCTAATTTTTATTAACGATTAAGATAATTTCACATTGTTCATACCTATGAAGTTTTTGCATATACAAGATGCTAAGAGAAATAATTTGATGCAAAAAAAATTATCCAAATTTGCTGCTTCCATCCTCTAACCCTACCTAATAGATCAAAAATCCAACATGGATCACTTAAATGCCCATAAAAGTCAATTCTTTGAACTTAATTTAAGAAGGTAAGACTGACTAATTTTTTTGAAAAATGACTCCCCCAAATGATCGGTGTGGTGGTTAAGTCTCCTTAAACGAAAGAATAGTCTTTAACCTCAAGAGTGTCTCACATGGTAACAAGATGAATCGTAAATTCAGATATCTTGAGTTTAAATTTTGGTATTTTCTTAGAGTCAGGTTTAAAATAATTTATCTCTTATTAATACCCTTATTTCGGTGTGAATATCTTTTTTTTTTTTTGACTAAATCCAAAAAAATATTAATCGAAATATATGTAAAATGATTCAAATATCCTTGATGAGTCAGGTCTTCGACGATGTGTGTCAGCCCCTCGTACCTATTCTACACATTCAATTAAGATTGTCCCTAAGGATTTATAGTTAGGGTGAACATGGTCTTCCTTCCTTGTTTTTGTATTGTAGGAAAAATTATTGGTCAACCTTACTACTTATCAATTCCCAGCTTTCAACCATGGGAAACAAAGTAGCCAATTTTGAAATAAAGGATGAGGGTGATTTAGAAATAATAAAATAAAGGGCATGTTGTTTTCCACGTGTATAAGTGGTCCAAGGGCTTAATGGCTAAGTAACAATAATGACAACCTTAGAATAATTTTGTTATCCACTACACTTATAGAAATTAACACGTCTCCCAAGTCCAATGAATAATTTGACTTGCAATACAATGAATATAAATAAACTTTTTTGACGGCCACCTAAACTAGAGCCCTCAAAGTATGTTTTTTTTAATTTATTTTTATTTTTTATAAAAAATCCTTCTTTTATAGATGAAGACTCAATTTTAATAATAAATTAATGATATGTTGTCTTATTACGAATAATTATCGAAAAATCTCGTAATCATGATTCAAATTCAAATAAATTAATTATGATATTGGTGCCAATTTTTATGGGATTCTTTGGTTAAGAGTACTAACCTTCAACCACAATTCTACTACAAAAAGTAGTAATATACATGCCTTCCTTCTAATCCTAAATCAAATAATGGGTATAAACAAGTTGCTTATCTACCTGCTATGTGAATTAATTATGATTTTGAACCAGGTTTGATGATACTTTAAATTTGTATCACCTAACTCTTATCATAAGACTACTATATATATATATATATATATATATATTTATTTATTTATTTTCCATGAAGGTAATGTACCAACATAACTTATCATATCAATGATTTAAATATTGCAAATTAATCATATGCAAACATGATACTTATTGTTTAGAAAGAAAAGATGTACGACACAATATCCGCTAAATGGAGTTAAATTTTTTTAAATAGTCCCATAGTCTTATCTTTTCAGGATGATGTTTTATTAAAACAAATATAGGAAATAAGATACATGAAATGTGATATTGTAAGTACAAAAATAGTTATTAGGTAAGTTCACGTGAAATAATTTTAAAGAATATTTCAAGTGATAACAAAGGTAAATTGCAAACTCAAATGTCGTGAGTTTGAATTTTAAAAATTTTTTGGGACTAAATTATTAGAGATTTATCTCTTGTGAATATCTCGGCGTGGATAATTTATTTTAACTAAATTAAAGAGAGAATTAGTCAAAGTGTGCATAAATTTTTTACAGTTGAAAAAGTAAAATAGATTCATATGAAATTTGTGTATTTTTTTAGTTTTTTCCATTAGCTAATTACCAAGATTAGAACAATTTACATTAAAGGAGACAGATCATAGTGCTATAAAGAGGTATTATGTTAATGATTATCAAGGATAAGTTTTAATTAAAAATAGGACATTTTTCAAAACCAACCACACAAAAGGCAAACTTATAATGACAACAAAGGAATCACAACAAACCCAACCAGCCTCCCAACCTGGACAGAGAAAATCCATTACCTCCCATTAATTTCTGTCTGATCAACCCAACCAAAACTGTCACACTCAAAGCCGTCCCATTTTCAGAAAAAGGTTACAGCTTTTTTCTCACTGTGCCTCTCCTTCTCCCTCTCCCTCTCCCTCTACCTTTGTATTCTGCTTCTTCTGTTGTCTTTTTTTTGGTGGAGATTAGTTTCTCAAAAAGCAAGCTTAGTAGTTTTCGCAGCTCATCTATAGTTTTGAAGGCAAGAGAGCTCTTCTTCGGTCTTGTTGCTTTCTATCCTAATTACTTCAACAAAGAAAAAACAGCTTTAGAGAGAGAGATGGAGATGATGTATTATCAGTTGGCAAGGTCGTCTTACCAGGATTCGTTGAAAGTTCTTGAGGCTGATATACAACATGCTAATGCTTTGTAAGCTCCTCCTTCACCTCTTAACTTCTTCTCTCTTCTGGGTTTGTTCTGTTTTTTGTTTATATGCTCTTGCTTACCCATATATGTGTGTGTGTTTTGGTTATGTTTTTTTCTGTCTATCTGGGTACTTTGATGATTGATGATCATCATAAAAATTACTATTCAGCTACTATGCAAGTTACAAGAAATATGGCAGCCAATTTGGGGGCTTTGTGTTGTGCTTTCCTTTTCGCTGTCTGGTCCTGTTAGCTACTTGGCTCAATTACAATTAACATCGAGATTACAACAGCTTTTTGAGCAGAAAGTTTGTTCATTTGGTGAGATTGTTCAGGTCTTCAATGATTTTTTGATTGGCTAAGAGCTTTACATAGAGAATCATGTAGTTTCCTCTTCTTATGTAGAGGTTCTTAGAGATATGTTGAGGGTGTCTTACTATTCTATCAGAAGCAACTTGTCTTTTGACCTTTCATTTGGAGTCAGAGCAAGTTTGGGGCTCAGAAAGTCCCCCTTTTTTTTTTTCAAATTTAATTATTTTATTTTATGGAAAATCCCTTTGTGATTGTTCTGTAACTAGATATAAAGTTCATATTGTTCTATTGATATCACATTAGATTGCAAATTAGTGATCCTGTTGTTTGGTTTGTTAATGTATATATGTTTGTCCCACATCGGTTAGACTAGAAAACCTCTCTACTGGTATATAATATATATATGCAATTGATATTCACTTTCTGTTCTCTTCTTTAACACGGTTAATTCATTGTTCTCTAATTTCTTGGTTTTCAGAGCTGCTGCAATCCCTAGAGCAAAGGGTGGGACACGACTTCAAATGAAATTGGTCTACAATCATTTGGCACCCCTCTTTTTCTTTTTGCTCCAATGGATGGATTGTTCCTGCACATGTTTCTTTCCCAGATATCTAAATCTTTTCCACATACTTGTATATAAGGTAAGTTCCGAATTGTTTCTGTTCAATTATTTTTTCTGTTTTATTCAATTGGGTCTTTTGGTGAGTCTTGCAAACAATGATAAAAAGGGATGGAAACACTTGAAGGTGGCTTCTTTATTACCACAATTGAATAGTATTTTCCATTTATTTTTCTTTCTTTTCGAGAACCTAACAGAGAGCTATTGAAAATTGAATAATGGCTGAATGGATTTTGACTGTCTCTGTCCTGTTTTGCAGGTGGACACGGATGGGAGGCCGAAAATATCTACACATGGAAGGAAAGCAACAATTAAAGACTTCTATGGTGCCTGAATTACTTCACTTCTTTGCTCTTTTTGTAGGAAAAAAGAAATCCATTGTAGCTTGCTATGCATTCAATATTCTTGTGTGTTTGATTCAACATAAACCAAATTGCAGCTGTTATATTGCCATCTCTTAGGCGGCTCCATTGTGACCTAGTGGAGCTGGATAAGGCTACAGATGATGATCCTGGCATGGAAATCATTAGCAAGAACAAAATTGATGGAGAGAATGGAGTTGCCAACAACGATTTTGATAGGGAAGATGAATGTGGGATTTGCTTGGAGCCATGCACCAAAATGGTCTTGCCTAGTTGCTGTCATGCGATGTGCATCAACTGCTATCGTGATTGGTGAGTAGTTGTCCATAGTTTTTCCCTTTATACATAGTTTCTACCACGACTAGCTGACATTCAATAAAATCGTTCTTTCGATTGTGGTTCTCAACTCCATTCGTCTTACAGGAACACACGATCAGAGTCCTGCCCATTTTGTCGAGGTAGCTTAAAGAGAGTCAAGTCAAGAGATTTATGGGTTCTCACTTGTAGTGAGGATGTGCTTGACACCAACACAATTTCCAAGGAGGACCTGTTGCGCTTTTACCTATATATTAATAGTCTGCCCAAAGATTACCCAGATGTCCTTGTCTGGACATATTATGAATACCTAATATGATCTGAAGTGAATGAGAAGAATGTTGTACAGACAGAAAATGCCGACCGTCAAATGTATATAGAGTCTGGTAAGAAAACTTCACTCAGATTGTTACCCTATGTAACAAGTTATTGAATTATAATTTGTGGTATCTATGTGGGATACCTTCATAATGATATCGAAATAAAATTTATGAAAATTGGGTCCACACTTGTATCTTTTTTCTGCTCAAGGTGCATGAGAATCTGAAAACTTTTATTGGCAAATACCAATTTTTGTCTTTTCTTTTTCAACTGTTTAAATAACACTTAGGATGATTTAATATAAACCATGTTCTGGTTGGGTTTGCTTTGCTCTGATTGTTTTCTCTTGTTCCGTTCGAAAACAGATAGATATGAGAACAGATGGATCTACATTGAAGAAAGAAAGCTTTCTCTTATTATACCAGTTTTATCAAAGAAGAACACAAAATTGTCATTAAATAAATTTTTATTTCCTCACACTCTCTGAACGAATCAATCCGGAGTGATAAAATGAACTAGGCTATGACGAGGAGGCATCAATGGGCCTTTTATGCTGTGATGTATTATCTATATGCCACTTTTACTTTTAATCAGGTCGCTGAACGATGGTTGACAAAATCCTTGGTTGAGCAAGAGATCAGTTAGTTGCTTATTCATGGCTTCTGTGAGATGGATGCCATCCCAGCTGATGTGTTTACTAGGGTCCGTGCAGGTGGATGTGCCAGGCGAGCCACAGATTGTCTCCATGTTGAAGTTGAGATTTCCTCCGCCGGCTCCACAACATGCCTTCAAGGGCTCATCAAACCCGAACTTTTTCAGATTTGTCAATATTGTCAAGAATGCATTCCAGTAATCAGCATATATGATTGAACAATGAGGGTACTGTTTCTGAAGTTTTTGCAGCTTCTTCTGAAGAATTTGGTTGTGGAACATTATTGCTGCATTCACAGGCACAGAACACCCCATTCGATCTAACTTATGGAGTGGACACAAAGAAATGGCTATGGGGAGGCACCCGACTGGTGGTAGCCCTTGAACCACAATGTACTTGGCTCCACCCCCCAGCAGTGTCTGATAGAACACAAGTGATGTTAGCATAAATTCCCAGCATGAACCTCATATAAACATTCAATTAAATAGACTCAGTCTTTTACACGGTGCATATTTGTTTCTTTGAGTCATACCTCTAGAAGTTTGGAGACATGAGAAATCGACATATCTGTGAGGGACTGGAAGGAAATGAGAGATCCCTTCGAAGTACGAACATAGTCACTTATGCCCATGCCACCAATCCAGAAGAGCGTGTTCTCCATCTCAGCATTGCACGACCTCGAATCTTTTCCCTTACATCCAATGTCACTGCGAAACTTGGTGAACCAATCGATCTGAGTCTGCAAGCTCATAGGTATCCCTTTCCATACTAGGTTCTTAAATAACGTCTCTTTGATAAAGTAGTCACTCGACAGACTCGTTGATCCGGCTATTGCGAAGTTACAACCATGTGTGAAGTTGGCAGAACTGTCTTTGTAGGGTGGCAGGGGAGGCAGGGAAAGAGATTCACAGACGAAATCAATAACCAGGCGGCCATCACTAAGCCGGTTTGCAGGTTTCCCATCAGTAGTTGAGCTGTGAGTAGAGTTTGTTGCACCAACAGAAGGGGGTGGGTTTGTGGTAGTTGGGCTGTTGGGAGAGTTTGTAGAACCAGCAGAAGGGGGTGGAGTTGAGCTCTGGGGAGAGTTTGTGACAACAGGAGAGGGGGGTGGGTTTGTGGTAGTTGGGCTGTTGGGAGAGTTTGTAGAACCAGCAGAAGGGGGTGTAGTTGAGCTCTGGGGAGAGTTTGTGACACCAGGAGAAGGGGGTGGGTTTGTGGCAGTTGGGCTGTTGGGAGAGTTTGTAGAACCAGCAGAAGGGGGTGTAGTTGAGCTCTGGGGAGAGTTTGTGACACTAGCAAAAGGGGGTGGAGTTGCGACTTTTCTCGAGGTAGTTGAGCTGGGGGGAGAATTTGTGACACCAGCACAAGGGGGTGGATTCGTGGGTTTTCCCGATGTAGCACCGACAGGAATGGTGAGACCACCCAACCAGTAAGCGTTGCCAGTGTCGGTATACGAGTCTCCAAAAGCATAGATTTTGGAAAAGCAATCTTTGTTGCTACCACGCAATGAAGAAGAAGAAGAAGAATCTTCGTTGTTATGGCTCTTGTTGTGTGCATATGAAGGAGAGAAGAAAAATGAAAGGAAACAAATTGCAAGAGGGAGGAATGATTTATACTTCATTTTGTGATATTGAGATGAGTTTTTCTGTTCCATTTTGGCTTAGGCTATATACAAAGGTATGAAGGCATATATATATGCCTTTTCTGGTAGAAGCATTGCCATTGGAAGTCCTCTACAGGACCTCCATGCTCTTAGGAGAGAGCTAAGGTGGTCATTGCTTGGAGATGGATGGCCAAGGACTAAAGGTGAGGTCCTTAAACTGAGGATTTGACCTTGTTGACTTTGTATTAGCCTCATAAATTTTTTCACTAATCTCTGTCCAATGCCAAAACATATGGATATTAAATCACACAATTTAATTCACGGGTTCGATATCTCCACGTCTTAAAACCTGAAAATTGTAAGTGCATACACATAAAAGAATACAGATCTTAGCTAATAGGTCGAAGGTATATAATGAAGATATAGGAATCAATAACATTTTAATGAATGATTTGATTAATTGTTTTGGTAATGATTTTGATTCATCAACTGTGGGACTTGGGGGAGTCACATATGTTGCCATTTTCACTAGGTTTGCCAATGGATTTGATTTTAATTCGAATCTGATCTGAATCAAAATTTAATTAATCAGATGTAGATTGATATTTTTTATCGATTATCCAAATTTGAATATGAATTCGATATCGTATATTTTAAGGATTCAGATTTAGATATATATATAAATTCGATTTGATTATGATCTAATTTAAAATAATTTATATATTTTTGCATAAATATTAAAGAAATTAAGTGATTGTTTGAAAAAAATAGTTAAAATTTATATGTAATTTGTTAAAATTTAGTTAAATTAGGTTATTCGGATCGGGTTCGGACAATTAAGAGATTTGGGTATGAACCATGAAAATAAAATTCATTAGATTATCAGGGTCGAATTTTAAAGTCAAATTTAAATTCGAATCAATTAAAATTTAATTCAAACTTGATTCGTTAACATGCCTAAATTTGTCACCCTTTTCCAATTTTGAAGCTCGTGACCCATGATATAGCTAAAAAATGAAAAATTTGGAAGCTGGTCCCCTTGAATGGACTTGTTTGAAGATAAGTCCTGCAAGGAAACTTATTTGGTTTGAAGTCAACTTTTTGCCATTTTTACTATTATACCCTTATTTATTTAAAAACCTAAACGTCGTTTAACTTGCCGATTGCTTTCTTAGACGGAGAACCCTTTCGTTTCCATTTTTTTTGCAACCAGTAACTCTTGCTTCCTTCATTCCAGGCTATGAATCCGGCAACATTCCTCAAATATTTCCCATTCTTCTTCTCTGAAAATCATAAAATTCTATTACCCAAAAATAATCAATTCAAAATTGAAACTGGTTTCACATAATAAAACCGAAAATCGGGGTTACTCTTCAAGTTTCATTGGCGAAAAGCTACAATTGTTCTTAGCATTCTTGAAGTCTTCACAAAACTTTGGGATTCTGTAAAAATTTGTAAGGTGTGTGATATTACATGAAGTTTGATGTTTCTTTTAGAGTTTTAAAACTACATTTACACCCTATGTAGTTCGTACTGTCTAATTTTTTTTTAAAATTTTTTTTTGAAAATGATATTGTGAGTTCTTATTACTATATAAAAGATTTGGGTATTATGATTTCGTTTTTTATTTCATGGCGTTATACATTCAAAATTGATTGGTGTGGTTTCTTTAGAACTTCTAATGTTACTGTGAGATCAATTTTAAAAATTTATTATTTTAATGTCTATATATTGATGTTATTGATTTGTATTGAGTGTCTTAAATTAACCATTAACATTGTATTGCCATTATTTCATGATAGTAACATCAAATCTTTTTAATTTAGATGTTACTGTGCACAATATGACACATGGGATGGACCTATTCATGTTACTGTTACTTAATCATTTTGTTATATAATTAGATGTTTAAATTTTTTGTTGCTTTCTTCGTTGTTCTAGAAATTCAAAAACCATTGGTTCAAGAGTACAATGAAACTTTTTAGGTTACTGTGTAATAACTGGAAAAATGATTTCATACTTTCAATGAATGGATGTGTTTGGCTACTGTGGATGTTACTAACATCTTGGTGTTACTGTAAACATGTTACTAATCAAAACTTTTTAGATTTTTAACTTTAAATGCAGCAGATGTTGTTCATGAAGAGTGAAGGGGTAGTTGTTTGATTTTAAATGCAAAATGGGAACTCAATGAATTTGCAATGGAATCAATCGTATATTGAAAAGTGAAGTTACTGAATTGTATTTGTTTGATGTTAATAAGAATATGTTTATTAGTGTTACTATGCTCATGTTACTAATATAATGTTGTTCATCTATTAATATTCAAATGTCATTTTATAGGTTGATGGCTAAAAAAGGTAAATCTACTGCTCCAAAAGCAACTGCATTTCACCAATTTCGATCTAATTTGCTTCCATTGGTGAAGGTTATAACTGACCTAAACATCACAGATGATCACAGAAAACAACTAAAGAGAACACTATTTTGACATTTGTTTAACACAATATCAACAACTGAAGTGGATAAAGAATAGTTCAAAAAGAATGACAAGAGTATTGTGGATATAATTACAATGTTTGATGGTGAAACATCAAGATTCCGTATTGGTGAAAAAGGTCTGAAGATACGGAAGACCGATGTAACACTAATTTTTGGTATAGAAGACGGTGTCGATCCAATTCTTTCCCCCAAAGTGCAAAAAAAAAATTCACCATTTTGTTAGAAGGAGATTTTGTAACACCAAAAAGTTGAATGCACCAATTATAAAAATCAGGCTGGAGGAGACAACAACGGGTGTTGGTAAGCATGATTGTGAAGATTTTTCTAGGTTGTTCTCTTTGTATGTCTTAGTGACACTAGTAATTATAAATATGGGCCAAACAATTGGATGGGGATATGTGTCGTACATAGAAAATCTGGATGAAATAAAAAAATACAACTGGTGTCAAGCAACTATTGATGCGATGATAAATTCCATACGGTTGAAGTTTGAAACATCGAGTGCAGTAACTGGTTGGGTACTACTGTTACCAGTAAGTTTTAGATTGATAATTTATTTGATTTTTTTTTATTTTTTCAGTAAACTCTATATGTTTTATATAATGTAACTATGTCTAAATTGCAGTACTGGATATGTGAACATGTGTCTCTTATTGTGGCCGACAAGGCGGATGTATTCCCACGGTGGATGAAATGAAACTTAAGAAAACTTTGAGCGGCCCTCTCACAAAACACACTGTCCGACATAGCAGCTGATTAGGTATTTAAATTATTTTTGACAATTGCTTAATTGCATGATAATGTTAAATTTGTGATCAATGTTACTGTGCGTGCAAGATCCTGCACAATGTAAAAAATAAAAATAGATCTCTCCCTTGGTGAACTTCGAGTGAGCCAGTTGAGTGACCAAACACGCTGCTTGGAACAGCCTGCGAGGCCCGGTGGTAACCTGAAACGGTAATGGGAGACCCTGGGAACGGAAGAACGATCCAGTAGGGCTAAAAGAGGTTCCTGGAACAAAGAAGAACAAGTTAGAAGGGCGCCGGAGTGTTTTCCGGCGTATCCCCTCCGACGATCTAGTCAGTCTTTTAGAAAGAGAGAGAAAGGAGAAAACACTGAGTGAGTATTGTAGTAAAGAGTTTTTGTTGCATACCCGTCTTGCCTTTTGCATGGAGTATTTATACCTTAAAAGCTCATGATTGCTGTCAGTGTAGTCAGTATATGATCATTAGGTACAGGCAGTGTGCGCACTGATTCTGATGAGGAATGTCTTCTCTTCTTAACTGCTCGGGGTCCCGAGCAATCAATGCTGGGTCATCGGGATGCCGACGGTACAATGTACTACTCTCGGGGAGGATCTAATAAATGCTCTGTATAAGGAGCATTTATTGCCTTTCATTTCCGAGTCTTACCGCATTGAATGCGGTCTCATCAAGGGAATGGTGTAATTAATAGTTTGTTTTCCCAAGTCGCGTGTCAGCAACGACATGCGGTTTCTCTGTCTTCGATGTGATATCATATGCCACGCGTCTATCCTTTATTGGATGTGACCTCTGTAATCCAGTACATTCTGACACTAATTGTGTAAGACGAGGTCATGATGAATAGCCTAGACTAGCCTAGGCTAATGACCTGTACGTCAATAGCTTATCCTGGAGTAGAGGAAGCATCCAGGATGGGATACCTCTCGGCACCGAGGAAAGGATCATCTCGGTACCGAGGGAGGTATGCCGACCGAGGTACCATATCAGACCGAGGCCACGTGTCGGTTGTAAAACATATTAAATGCATGATCCTATATGATGGGTACCTCGGGGGCGAGGACCTTTATGCGCCGATGGTGCTTGATCTTAGCAACAGTGTTTTGGTAATACCCGAGGACACGTGTCTTCATCATGGAGCATTTCAGAAAAGTCCCATCAACTGCCCCCCAGCCTTCAATCTTCTGACACCGAGGACACGCGTCGTAAGAAGACGAAGGGTTTCCCAACAACCACCAGTGCTTCATCATTGCCTCGAGCCGCTTTTCCCGGCTTGGGATGTCGTGCGCATTAAATGCGTTGTTTCGTTTTTTGCGCCCAATGATGAAAATTGCCTCTATATAAAGGGGGCTCCTCTTCCGTTTTCCTCGTTTTGCCATTCCGAACTTCCTTAAGAGAGCCTCTTCCTGAATCTTCGCCGGAGATTTCTTTCTTCTTCCATCGTCGATTGCCCATTCTTCCTTAAAGTCTTAAAGCCAGCAGACCCATCGTTGCTTCTGAACTTTCTGGAAGGAGTCGCTTTAAGGTTTTCCAGAAAAATCTCCGTTTTGACATTCGGGTGAGTTCCAGTATCTTCCTTCTTTTTCTTCCTCCTATCCTTTTGTTTTCCGATGACTGGAGGTGCCTCCGGTTGATACATAGCGATTAACCTTCGGGAAACTCCCTCAGGGATTTTTAAGAACAAACACCCTCTTCTTTCTCATTTTTTTAGAGATGCCTCGTCGTCGCCCTGCTCCCGAGAATCCTCAGGCTGGTTCTTCGGGTCGGGGAAATATAAAGTAAAGGGTGGTGAGCAGATTGATAGGTTTAAGGTCAAGTACGTCATCCCCCCGTGCGTAGATGTAGAGGATTATGACCCGGTGGTGCACTCTTATACCCTTGGGGCCGAGGATGCCATGCCCTTTTATACCAAAGCCATAATAGAGGGAGGAATTAGGTTTCCTTTACCCCCCTTACTTCTTCAGTTCCTTTCTCACTTCCGCCTCTTCCCCG